ATCCCGACCATGTAAGGGAAGATGCTAATCATCTCTACTTTGTATGACCAAAAACAATTTTAGTTGTAAGCATGCAAGCACCAAAAACAATATCTGCATTCTGGACTGGCTAGATGATTTGTACATGCATGTTAATGTTTGCCCTGACAAGTGCAAACATAGTGCAGAAAGACCAAAGAATATAATGTCTCCCGATTATTCTCCCGTATTTACCATAAACCTGTTGACATGCCATAGAGAATGATGCTTCTGATTCACTAAAAATCCACAGAAATAAGTACAAAAGATTGGTGAAAACTCTTGACATCTCATTTCCTGGTCACGGTTCTTCTACAGTTCACAAGCTTCTAAGAAGGGTATACTTTAGAAAATTGTTATACAAGACCAATTGCTTCTATAGTTGGCTCTAGGATATCTTGGGAAAGAAGGAAGCACTACAATAACATCTAGGTGCACATTATCAAACAAATAAAAAAACATCTAGGTGCATGATGCTTTATGGAATCAACATAATATGCTTAATATTTCAATGGAGTTTGATTTGTTAAAAGGGAGACACAGAGGGCCTGAAAAAATCAAATGAGAAACAAAAAACCAATAGTGGAACAGCATATTAGAAAACATCTATGAAATGAAAAAATTAATGCATTCATCTGCAATTAAAATTCTCCATAATTCTACTACTCAAATAACGTAGTACTCAGACATGCTAAATTGATGGGAGGACAATTTTGGCAAACAATAGTACCAAATAAGCTTTCCATAGGAGAGTGCTTAACCTGGTATGCACATTCTCATATACGAATATTACATAGTTAACTTGATACCACTACCTGTACTCAATATCATCACCTATACTCAGCAGCAACAACAACATTCCTAGTGCAATCCCACAAGTGGGGTCTAGGAAAGGTAGGATGTACGCAGACCTTACCCCTACCTTTATGGGGTAGAAACTGTTATTGAAAGAACATCGGCTCATAATAAAAGAAGAATCCGAAACATAATTATAAGACAATAAAACAGAAAAAATTAACAGAATACAAAGCAAATACAGCAATAAATAGTAATAATAAACACTGATGAACAAATAAGACTAAACAACAGATAAAATTACCTATACAGCTATAATCAAATAAGACTAAATCAAAGTAATGCAACTGGATACAAAAATAAATTCAAGTTGTGGCTTCTAGTTTCCTTTTACTCATAAAAAATCTACTGGAAACTTCAAGTGGGAACAGCAATATTTACCTTTAGTCGCTTTTGCTTGCTCAGTTCGTGCTCCGAGTCTTCCTTCTCATATGTTTATAAGCCAGATGCAGGAAAGCAGTGATAATAAATAAGTTAATAGCAAAAAATAACAGATTCACTATCACTTGACTTTACCTGTGCACGGGTTTCCTTTTGTTTTCTGTCAATCTTATCTGAGTCTGCATCAGAAACCTGTTGATTAATCGCTTCATTGTCAGCACAAGTGAAGTTCCAACAAACTGACTTGTTCGACAGGGTACCTCAACTTTAAAATTTACATAATAGTACAAACTCGGGAATAAAATAAGTCCAGCAAAGCTTCATACTTCAGGAAGTAAAAGCAACAGGTGAAAATTTGGCAACTATGACCAGATAAGTTGAAACATTTCTAAATTAAAGAAAACTAGAAAAGGATTTGAAGCAGCAGACTTGGTCAAACTCATGTCTCGAGTTTCAAATAGAGGGAATTCTAAGTGGAGTCAATTTCAGCCTACATATATTTGTAAATGGTAAGCTGCTACTATGCTACCATAACAAGCACTTTATACTTGCATTACAAATGCCTAAAGAATTTAAACACTAAAGAAGACAGCACCTTCTGCAAAGTTGCAATCTCGGTGCTAATCAGTTTCTCCAAAGTTTCTTTATCTTTGTTCTGCATAAATCAGAAAGACAAGCTTAGCTGCAACGAAGAATATTATCAACTAAAAGAAAACCTTTTAGTTATCAAATAAAACACTGAGAATAAAGATAGTTTATCAAGATGGCAAAAAGACTCTATAATGAAATAAAGCTGCTCCAAGTCAGGTGGTGTCAAATACAATCGCATGCACCTACAACTATTTGATAACAAAATTGACTTAGTGCAGGACTGCAGGTATATATTTAACAAAAGTTCATACACGTAGCTCTAGCGAAAGATAATTTATGCCATGCTCACCTATAGATACAACTAAAAGAAGATACTTTTTTTCACATGAATGGAAAATCAAACAAACGGCTACAAATGCATATTGGAAAATAATGATAAAAAAATACCCCTAAAGTATTGAGGTTTTTCAAGTTTCATATCTAAATTATTTGTGAGTTTACTACTCAACTATAATCAACTATTTATCAAAAGACATTCATACATAAGTTGTTCTCTTTTACTACCTAAAATATCACCAAGTTAATGTAGGAAATAGGAACAATTGATAGTTAAGGTGTATTTTGATAAATAATTGGTTATAGTTTAGCTAAAAAACTCACACACGTGATAGTTCAGTTCACATATCAAACTCAAAAAAAAAAATGGAGACATGTATTTTTGACTCGTCACTCCAAATAATTCAGTAAATACTCCACATGCAAATTGCAAAATTAAGCTTAAATTTAGTCAGAGTTTTAGAAATGTATACCTGGAGCAATGAGAAACCAGCGATGTCTTCCACAGAGGAAACGAAATCAGAATTGAAAGGGAAACAATCGAGATGATGCCATTTCGTCTGGTCAAAGCCTTGAGGGTGTTTTGACACTAATCCCAGCCTTACTGATTTCGCCGGAATCTTCTCATCGCATTTCTTACATGACGATCGACCGGATTTCGCATACTCAACTGTGACTTTTGTAGAAGACGCCATTGGAGAAAAAAATAGTAGAATTAATCTAGGGTTAAAATTGTTGGTTCTGGAAGGAACTTTGAAGAAGAAGCTGGAGATGTTTATGCTTAGCATTTAAGAGTAAATAATGGGAGATTTTAGGGATTCCTTTTCCCGCCATTAAAGATAGTATTTGTTGGTTCTGATTCCCAACTTCTCATAAGTTCAACCTAATAGACATTTTGGAAAAGGAAAAGGATTTTTATCATAAATTTGTAATTTTATTTATATAATTTATATAGTTTTTAATACTATATGTTATTCTAGTTTGACTTGAAAATATCAAAATACTGATTTTTACCCTTTTGAATCGATGCGCGTTATTTAATAAGCTATTTCGGATGCTAGTAAAAAGTTTTTATCAAGAAGTTGTATCGGACATATATGTCATCCAAAATTCATGGGCTACATACGAAAAACAAAAGAATCTATATTTTCTATTGAAAATATTGATATTCGTCGCCTATGAACCAACACACACCATTTAATAAGTTGTCACAGACATTTACAGAAAAACTCAGCCAAAAAATGACTGGACGAATATACCATCCAAAATTCATAAAACTATATAATTAAAAAATCTCTATTTCTCGCCTGGACTTTATTTTATTTAGAGATGACATATTTTATATAATATTTCATTTTTAATGAAATGACTCAAATATTTTTCCATCAAAAATTTTATTAAGGAATCCCATTAATATTGTTGCACATACTATAATAGAAAAATAATTCATTTTCGATCAAATGATTTAGAACTTCATAATTCTTATCAATATTCATAAAAAAAAGGGAAAAAGGGTCTGATTTACCCCCTGAACTTTATGATTTGGAGCTGATATACCCTCCGTTTAAAAAATGGTCCATATATGCCCCTGCCGTTATAGAAATGGCTCATATATACCCTTTTACTTAACAGACCAATATTTAATAAATTAAAAATTCATTTCTTTATGCTTTAATATGAGAAAATGCCACGTGGCTCTTAAAATACCCCATCCAATTAATTTTTACCGACCCGACCCAATTGAAAATAAGAAAACCCGACCCGACCCAATTGAAAACAAGAAAACCCCACCCACTCCTAACCCATTTTATTCTATGGTCTTCACTCTCCCGTTCAACAAGAAAAAAAATCAAGAATTTGTTAGGGTTTCAGTGAGCTCTAAACTGGCGTCCATCAATTTCTATATCGTTCAAAATCTTATGTAAGTTTCTACTACTTTCTTCCCTTTTCTTTTAAGGATCTTTCGTGTTAAAAATATAGGGTAAAATGTAAGAAAAGTGTAACTGGGTTTACTTATGTGCATTTTCCACTTAACATTCTATCCACGGAAGGTTTATTTTCTTACTTTAATACATGAGTTTATCTCTTTGAATGCAAAGATGGAATCTTTGTTGGTCCCCAAATAGTTATTGTCTCTTTAGGATTTTAAAATTCATTTTTCAGTTGGTTGGTGTTAAATGCTAAGGTGGTCCCTATTATGTCTAAGTTATATGCTTGTTGCAGGTGTCATTTTAAAGGATGATTGAGAAAGTGGATATTGTTTTCAACTACGGGGGCAATTGGGTAATTTCTCTAAAGCTGGAATACAATATAAAATTTCAGCACACCTGGTATTATAATACTTGCTTAGTTTGTTATGATAATCTGTGTGAAGCTTTTACTTCCAAATTTGGATTTACGGAAGTTCAACAATTGTTGGTCACTGGTCCATCTGGTACTTATTATGTAATTGAAGATATTGATGGAATTAAGGCTCTTCAATACTTATTTTCAAAAGATTTCAAGGTGATAAATTTTTATGCTATAGATGCTCATGAATTGAGAGTTTCTGCCACAAATATCATATATCATACCGAATCATATTTTGTGGATGTTGAAGCTGCTACTGATTGTGATTATAGTGATGTGGAGGATGATACCCTTTATGAAATGGGCGACAATTGTGAAATTGTTGAATATAATGCTGAAGTGCTTCAACGTTATGATCATGAAAAAGAGAGAGTTGTGAGTGATGGACTTGAAAAGTTTAAGGAATTAGAAATGGGTATATGACTTTTAAGACTATACAAGAAGCTAGGCAGGTTGTTAGTTTTTATGCTATGGCTAACAAAAAGAAGTTGAAAACAAAAAAAAGTGATACAAAAAGAATCAGGTATGAGTGTTATGATGGTTGTCCCTTTACTCTTCTCATATCTAAGGATGGAAAATCAACAACATTCAAGGTTAAAACATTGAAGCCTAATCATACTTGTGGTGATTCTTTTGTTAATCCATTGGCAACTTATCATACCTTGGCTGTTTATTTTAAGGATGAAGTTCAAAATGATCCAAAATACCCTATCAAAGACATGAGAGGAATTCTTGAAAAAAAGTTCAAGTTGAATGTCTCAAGATCCAAACTAAAAAGAGCCAAAACAATGGCTCTTGATAAGTTGGAAGGCAGTTTCAAAGATGACTACAATAGGCTTGAAGCTTATGGTCAAGAACTTAGACAATCAAATCCAGGATCTGATGTGGTAATTAATATCTCTAAAGATGCACTTGAACAAGGCATAAGAAGGTTTTTGAGAATGTACATTTGCTTCAAGGCTTTGAAGGATGGATGGAAAAGTTTGAGACCTATAATTGGTTTAGATGGAACATTTCTCAAAGGAAAATGTAAGGGGCAACTATTAATAGCTATTGGGCAAGACTCAATGAATCATTTCTACCCAATAGCTTGGGCGGTGGTGGAAAAGGAAAACAAAGGAACATGGACATGGTTTATTCAGTCGTTGAGGATTTCGTTGGAGCTTAAAAATGGTGAAACTGTGACATTTATGTCTGATATGCAAAAGGTAGCTTTAAAATATATTTTTTATTTATTGCCTTTTCTTTATCTTTTTTCTTACTGTCATTTATTTCTTTTCGATTTTTAGGGCCTGTTGGATGCTGTAGTTAATGTTCTTCCAGAAGCACACCATAGGCTTTGTATGAGGCATATAGAATCTAACTGGTGCAAGAAATGGCGGAGTGGTGAAGAGAAAAAATTAATGTGATGGTGTGCATGGAGTACCTATAAAGAAGAATTCAAAGACACTTTGAACGTGTTAGGAAAGGTAGATGAAGATTCAACTGGTGATCTTCTTCATTTTCCTGTAATTAAATAGTGTAGGACATATTTTGATACTCAATGTAAGAATCTGATGGTAGACAATAACTTCACCGAGTCTTTTAACAGTTGGATACTTGAAGCGAGACATAAATCAATCATCAAAATGTTGGAGGAAATAAGAGTGAAGGTGATGAATATGTTGGTGAAAAATGAAAAAAATGGATAGAAAATGGCAAAATGATATCTGTCCAACGGCTATGAAATTGTACAATGACTATCGATTAATGGCTACCAATTGTACAGTTGAGTTCAATGGAGATTATGGTTATGAAGTGAAAGATGGAGACACAGACACACATACAGTGAATTTGGAGTTGAAAAAATGCACTTGTAGATTATGGGACTTAGGTGGAATACCATGTCACCATGCCATCAAGGCACTTTTGCATAAAAAAATGGAACCATTGGAAGAGGTTCATTACTGGTACAGAAAAGAGGCTTATTTGTTAACGTACAAGCACAAGTTGCAACCAGTTAGGGGTTCTCAATTCTGGAAAGTCGACTCTGCTCAAGCAATGGAACCTCCAGAAATGGTAAAACTTGTTGGCAGACCCAAGATGAAAAGAAATAGAGAAACTGATGAGGCAAGTTTGAGAAAGGGAGCATGGAAGCAGTCAAGAAAAGGAACTCTAATGAGATGCAACAAGTGTGGTGATTTCAATCACAATGCTAAGGGATGTTATAAGGTAATATCTCTTAGTTTTTTCTTTTAGTTAAAGGTGTTCATTTTTGTCAATAACAAAAAAAAATTTGGGTTGAAGGACTGAAGAAGGTGAGAGTTCACACGAAATAAATAAGAAAGCAAGCAGTCAAGAGTCGAGGAGTCGAGCAGGAAAAAACTCTACATGTAGTGCCATTGTAGAGTATGAGACAGAAGCTTCACCCCAACATTTTCAGACGCAACAGTCTACTGCATATTGTCCTGAGATCGGGAATGAAGAAGATCCAACATTACGACCAATGGTAATTTCTGAGACAGAAACAAGGATGGAAAAGAGGTCTCGAATATTTGAAGGATTAACAAGCAGAAAGATTGTTTTTAAAGGAGATGCAAGAGGAATCTCGACCCCTTCGAATCTACCATATTCACCAAAGAAGACTACTTGGAAGGGAAAGAAAGCAGTCACGACTGGTCAGTTACAAGCTGAAGTAAAGAAGAAAAGAGTGAAGCAAATGGCAATGAAGGGCAGACTTGGATTAATGTTTTCAATCTCTACAGACTTTTTTTTCACTGAGCAGTCTGGAGAAGAGTTCTCATTTGGGTTCGACAAGTTATCTTTCTTACGCTTCCTACTGAACATATACTTGAGAGGCGTCATATTGTGGCCCTTCTTTACCTGACACAAACGAACTTCCTGCTACATTATTTTTCTCAGTATTGATGGAAGGACAATTAGGACTGTCATACAAAGTGTCTGTGTGCAAGTATCTTGCAGAACAACGGAAAATTGCTGGCAATAGTCGTTGAGAAAACATGAACTTATTAGAACGAGCCTTGCAAGAGCTATTTTTGGTTTTGCCATTTCGAGATGATTTGCAGACCTTGGATCCCAACTCAGTAGGGAATTTTAACAACTCTGAATTATTTACATTTGACTTGGCCATGATACTATTGCGACAATTCAAAACCTCTTCAGCATGTGGTCTCAGGTGATGGAGAGGCTTATTTTTTACTTCATTCAACTGCTCACGCACATCATGCAATTCTGCTCTAAGATCAATTATCAGCCCTTCAGCTTCATTAAGCTGAGCTTCTAATTCATCAATTCTTCTTTGCTGATTTTGAGACAAACTTTCAGCTTCAGCTGTCTGCATTAAGGGTTACACATATCAGTTTCTTTAAACTGTGAGATATGGGAATCAACATCCTGCTAGGATATACCATCATATCATTCATGTAAAATCACTCTCAGAATACAAAATTTGAAGTGTGTAAAATCACTTTGCAGACAATAACTCTTGTGATAACACTAAATTTGAAGGTGTTTTATGTGATAGAATTACAGAGTAAAGATCAAGCGCAAAATCAAGGATACTAAGAGTAATGACGCTCAAATGTTGGGAAGCTGATGCAAGTACTGCACATTGTAAAATACACACAAAAAAGGTTCTTGAATATCTGCTGGCTACTGGCTAGATTCGAACTTGAATTTCTTGATTCATTCGAACTTGTCTAGATTCTATAATTTTTGTGGTCCAGAATCAAATTTTAAGTACTACATTTATTTTCTCGAACTCTCTTGATGAAAATCTAGGATCTGTCACTGCTCATATTATTACTTCCTCCTCATTTTATGCGTTTTAGCTCCTTTTCACGGTATTTTTTTAACATCAAGGATATAGTTAAAAACAATTATTATTTTTCGAGCTACGGTTATAAAAAGGAACAAAGTAAGTACTTAAATAATAAAATGCAACATTCACATATGTTTTATATCCTATTAGAACAACATTCACAAAAAGCGAAAGCAAATTTCTTTACATCAAAGTGAAGAGTGGAATCTTAGGCTTTTACTTTTATTTTCTCCTTAGTTGTGTCATCACATTTCTGAGCAGTGAAAGGAACCTGTTGATGATTTGATATATTCTGCACTACAAATAGGCTAGAAATCTTGAACAGTGCCATTATTTGCAAACACTAATTTCATTAGGGATTGGAAAAGGAGAAGACATGAGTAAATATTTAAACCAAAGTTATTATTGGGTCGTGATTTTCCTTCTTTAATTGTATAAATTTGACGAGGGAAAATAAGAGAAAGTTTAGAGTTACTCTCTTGTCTACTGTCAGCAATAGAAAACGTGGAATCATCAGACTCACAAACAGCGCCATAACTCAACAAAATTGATATGTTTTTGACTTTTTTTCTTGTTGAACGGGAGAGTGGAGACTATAGATTGAAATGGGTTAGGAGTGGGTCGGGTTTTCTTGTTTTCAATTGGGTCGGTTCGGTAAAAATTAATTGGATGGGTTATTTTAAGAGCCACGTGGCATTTTCTCATATTAAAGCATAAAGAAATGAATTTTTAATTTATTAAATATTGGTCTGTTAAGTAAAAAGGTATATATGAGCCATTTCTATAACGGCAGGGGCATATATGGACCATTTTTTAAACGGAGGGTATATCAGCTCCAAATCATAAAGTTCAGGGGTAAATCAGACCCTTTTCCCTAAAAAAAATACTTTTTGAATAACTATTCAAATTTGGATATTGATATTTTTCAACTTTTAACCAATCTTCAAATATCATTTCAATGTGATTATCGTTTTATTGTCATGACTATTATTTAGTATAATTTATTCTAATATTTTGTTATGCGAATATCATTTCAGTGTGATTATCGTTTTATTGTCATGATTATTGTTTAGCATAATCTATTATAATATTTCGTCATGATCTTGTTTATTTTATCATATCTATTATTTTTATATAAATATTATTTTAAATCCTTTTTATTAGTCGATAATTAAGAATGTATTGAAAATATTCTCTCTACGTCTAACATAGTAATAAAATCTCTATTGATTAATAATTATGTTATTATTAGAAATCTCCAAATATATTTTGAAATACTTTGAATCAAGTGAAGGTCTTATTATTTCAAGCGCCTAGGAGACCAACATTTCATAAAACCCTTCAAATTCTACATCGCCCAAGAAGAAATTTTAGGAAGCAAAAATGGCCTGGAAAACGGATACTGACCTCGAAAATTCCGACCCAATTTCAGAATCCGGCGATGTTGAGTGGCCTTGTAAACCCGTCGTTGAATCGTCAGGCTGGCCTACTAGCTGGCAAAACGACAGTAACAAATCAAAGCTACAAACCCCTTTACCTACCGCCGAAGACGAAGCTGCGAACAACAGTCAACTTCCGGCATTGCTCAAAGTTGCTGAATATTTGAACTCCACACTCAGTCTCGACGACGATGACGAGTTTTCTGAGTATATAGGTGAAAATGGGGATTATTTCATCAATGACGATGAGGGTTTTCTGGATGGGGAAGAGGGGTTTCAGGACTATGATTTTTTTGTGAAGTTGTTCAAGCAGGATGATGGGTTAAGAGAGTACTATGAGAAGAATCGTGAGAATGGGGTGTTTTGTTGTCTTGTTTGTTGTGGGGTTCGTGAGAAAGGGTGGAAGAGGTTTAAGGATTGTTCGTCTCTTGTTCAGCATTCCATAAGCATTGCGAAAACCTCTAAGAGACGAGCTCATCGGGCTTACTGTAAGGTCGTCTGTGAAATTCTTGGCTGGGATGTTGATAGCCTGCCTTCCATTGTCCTCTCTACAGGTGTTAAGCTCGGTGAATCTTCTGATAAACCAGTTAAGGCTCAGGTAACTGTTTACTGTAAGTTTTGGTTTTAATTTGACAAAGCTCAACAATTTGATTGTAAATCATCCCCAAATTGATAGATAGACTATTATATACTGAATATGTTAGTTAGTTTGTGTCCTATATGTACAAGCTTCGAGCTATCTAAATGCTTATGTCAAGCAGAGTGAAATAAATATGTCTGTCAAGTCATTACCTTGACATGCAAAGCCAATGTCTTTATCAGTTTGCAATCTTGCAGGGCAATGTCGATGATGGTGGTGATGACAGTTTGAGTGGTCAATGCAAATCCACAAGTTCTGTTAGTGTCAGTGAGACTGAAGTGTCTCTGTCGAAATTGTCTTTGATTGATGAAAGGCAACCAGGAAAAGATTGTTGCTCTGCAGAATTAGAGGTTTGTTTGATGGCTAGTATTTTCTCTGTACTATGTATGTTGAATGAGATTATGCTAAGTTTTAGCTGACCTGTATTTTGTATTTAGCAGGACTCTCTAAGTGGAGCCACTGTTGATAGAAGCTTGGGCGATCTCGGCAAAGGTACTTCTGACACAATGA